GTGTAAAAAAAAAAAAAAAAAATTTTTGTCATTTTCCAAAAACTTGTGGTAAAAAAATAAATTCTTCTATTGATTCAACATGCCTCTCAGCAAATAGTTTGGGGTGTCTACTTTCCAAAAAGGGGTCGTTTTGGGGGGGGTGGGGGTGTTTTATGCCCAGCATTAGAAGTTTATGCCACACATCATTCACTCTTCTAACCACCTGAAGACCAAGCCTTTTCTGACACTTTTTGTTCACAGGAAAAAAATATGTATTTTTTTGCTAGGAAATTAATTTAAACCCCCAAACATTATATATTTTTTTAAAGCAGACACCCTAATGAATAAAATGGTAGGTAGTACAATTTTTTATGGCACATAGTACTCGTGCAGCGATTTTTTTCAAAAGCAAATTTAAAAAAAAAAAAAAAAATACACTTTTTTTACTTTTAATGCACAAAAAAATATATTGGCCAATTATTTTGTAAACTATAAAAGATAATGGTTTGCCGAGTAAATAGATACCAAACATGACATGCTTTAAAACTGCGCATCCCCCGTGCAATGGCGACAAACTGCAAACATTTTTAATATCCATAGGCAACGCTTTAAAAGCCTTTAAAAGCTACCATTTTAGATTTACAGAGGAGGTCTAGTGTTAGAATTACTGCCCTTGATCTGACGTTCACGGCAATACCTCACATGCATGGTGCAACCACTGTTTACATACTGTCACAGGGTCAAGGCTTGTGCGCACAGGTGTGCGCGCATGGGATGGGCGATTTTTTTTTTTTTTTTTTTAGTTATTTTTGATTCTTTTTTATTATTTTTACATTTGTACCTTTCATTTTTTTTTATCACTTTTAATGCTATAACAGGGAATGCAAATATCCCCTATAACTTCAATGGGCATTTTCATATATTCTTTTTTGAGAAATCTGGCTCTAGATATCTCTATCAGGTTCTAGATATCTCCTCTGCCCTTACATTATCTAATCAAACCAAAATCAGTGTGATCAGATGCTTTCCCAATTTACAAATGGTGCTGTTTATATCCTGCGAAACTGAAGTGATGAAATGCTTGTAGCTTCCGAATTCTTAGGCTATAGAGATGATTGGCACCATTCTGGTCTCCAATCAGCTCTATGGTCAGCTGGCAGAAACACCAGCTGCATTCTCAGGTTCCCCCGATGGCATGAGACTGCCCGAGAAGGCCGTCGAAGGCAGCGGGGGGGGAGGGGGGGCATCATCTCCCGCTGCTTGTAAAAGCAATCCTGCAGCTAATTATCCACTAGGATTGCTTTTACCTGAAAGCCGATCGCCGACTGAAAAAAACGATACCAGGATGATGCCTGCAGCTGTAGGCATCATCCTGGTATAACCATTCAAAGTCCAGTGATGTACCAGTACGTCGTCGCTGGTCCTTGTTGGGTATATATACTATGTTCTTTTTTTTTGTATGCAGCCTGTGGACTGAATGCCAAAAATGAGAAGAAATCTCTGCCAGGAAAAGTGTGTGGCATGCCCACCATTAGAATATACCGCCCTGCATCCACCCACTTCTAATGGTGGGCACACATTAGGTCACATTTTGCCACAAGCGCCAGTTCCAAGATTGAACAAATGTCTAAATAGTGGCACGCTTGAATAAAAAATGTCCACGTATAAGTGGTACTCCATATGGAAAAAGGATGACACCAAGTCCCAAACTATCTTGCCACTGCTCCCCATGTAGTCTGGGCATCCAGGGGGCTCTTTTCCGTCATAAATCCAAAACTTATAAGTATAGCCTGTTGCCCTCTCACAGGTCTTCTACACCTTGACCCCATATCTGGCACGCTTGCAGGGGAGAAATTGTTTGAATGCAAAGCGGCCAGAAAAATTAATGAGGGACTCATCAACGCAGATGTTTTGCTGGGGAGTATAGACATCTGCAAATTTTTGGTTAAGGTGATTTGCGAGGGGCTGTATTGGAGTGTATTGTCGTTGAAATGCATAAACCACATTATACTCTCATATCTATGCCTGGCCATGGCAGCAGAGAACACGGGCATATGATGAATTGGGTCTGCGGACCAATACAACCGCAATTCATTTCTTTTAGTAATGCCCATGTTGAGGGTTAGGCCCAAAAAAAAATGTAAATTCGAAAACCATAATGAGTTTCCAATGCGATTGGTCTGGCAAGGTTTGAATTTGGGTTGGCGTCCATAAATTGTTGTGCATATAAATTGCTTTGATCCACAATCAACGCATACTGATATTCCGTGAAAAACAGCTCCAACAATCAAGGAGGTATGTGAAAGACCAAGATGTACTAGACCGCTGGTACTCACCAGTTCACCAAAAGGTAGAAAGGCACTAGTACTGGCACTCTGCTGCATATGAGAGTCATCAACATTTACCGGCAAGTGCTAACAGAGATAAGGCCTGATTCTGTGAAAACTGCGGTTTTGTGTGCAATGTATCAAGTGACAGGGACCTACTGACACTGCACTTGCTGGGAGAAGAAGGGGGGGGTAAGCGTAGGGGCTAAACGCAGGTGCTGGCAGGTGCGGGGCTGATCCTCCTAACTCTGCATTTTTGGGGACGCTATACTAATGTGAACGCTGGTATAGTGCTGATCTGATCAAAGATATTGACCCGTTCAGACACTATACTAGCAATGGAGGTTTATTGTACATGAGCGTGCTCCTGGCAATCAAGGGGTTAAATGTGATGACTGGTGTACTGACGGGCAATCTGAAGCTATCTAGGAGGGGGTGTGAAAACCATGGGAGCGCAAATCATGTATATATATATATATATATATGTGTGTATGTGTGTGATTTTGCGCACCCATGCCGCCCTGTAGCAGTATTTCTGCTATAGGGTGGTCAGGAAGCAGTTACAGAAGAGGTTTGTGTTACGACGCTGCGTTACTTTAACTGACAATTGCGCGGTTATGCAACACTGCACCCAAATTAAATTTACGCCCTTTTTCCCACAAATTGAGCTTTCTTTCAGTGGTATTTGATCGCCTGTGCGTTTTTTATTTTTTGCGCCTTTAAAAAAAAAGGCTGACAATTTTGAGAAAAAAAAAACAATATTTTGGACTTTTTGCTATAAAACATGTCCAGTAAAAAAATGTAAAAATCACATTTCATCATAAATTTTGGCCAAAATGCATTCTGCGACGTCTTTGCTAAAAAAAAAAAAAACCAATACGTGTAAATTAATTGGTTTACGTGAAAGTTATAGCATTTACAAATGGTGGGAAAGATACTGGGATTTTTATTTTTTTTTTATACTAATAATGGCGGCGATCAGCAACTTATGGAGGCGATCAGTGACTTATGGCGGCGATCAGCGACTTATGGCAGGACTGCGGGAATGCGGCGGACATTCTGACACTGGGGTGGAACTGACTTGGGGTCACTGACATCCCCAATGACACCAATACAGTGATCAGTGCAAAAACAAAAAAAAAAACACTGACACTGTACTAATGGCAGTGGGGAGGAAGGGGTTAACTTTTTTATTCAATGAAAGGGTTAACTGTGTGAGGGGAGTGTTTTACTAGGGGGCGGGGGTGTTTACTGCACGGGAACATGCTGATCCTGAGAGATAAACTCTTCTCTCTGGATCAGCATATCAGGAGCTGACAGGGAACTGACAGAAAGCAGAGGTGCAGTGCAAACACTGCAGCCATGCTCTCTGTCAGTGACTGCCGTTAATCGCCGGGACACGGCAGGTAATGACCGGCCGTGACCCGGTGACTGACACCCAGGGCTGCGATCGGCGGCGCAGGTAGGGTGGTGGCACGCCTCGCGCGCGCGCCCCTGTTTTGCAAAAGCACATATTAAAACATGGTTTTGCGCAGCTGTGCCGCCCTGCCACCGTATTTCTACAGTGGCTGGTCGGCAAGAAGTTAATACCAAACAGAACCACTGTTAACCAATAACAGACCAACATGCTTAGTCACTAAGACTCAAGCAGCAATATCTTATACCAACCAAATAACAGTTTACCAACTGCTGTCCACCTGCAAAGTGGGCGACATTACCAAAAAGCCAGGTTACCAACCTGGCCCCACCTCAGAACCGCAGCCTAAACAATCACTCTACAATCCAACATTGAAAATGCCCTTCCCAGTATCTGAGAAAGTGTATCAAAAACATCCTCCAAAATTTCCCAAAAAAGAGGCATCCTTTCACACACAGTAAGTAGCAAAGGGACCTCAAAGTTCTACTATGCAGAAAATGATTGACTTAACAACACAAGTGCTTTTTCTTACCTCTACTATTCCTTTATATTGGCTTTTCTAAATAACAAATGCAGTAATCTAGAGGCTGGATAAAAAGTTTAGTGCAGCATAACACTTTTGACAGTAAAATAGTACCTTTTCGTATAGAGATGTACACATCAGACCAAAAAGAGGGACAACTGAAGCTACATGAGGGACAGTGGAATTTGATCTCAAAGGAAGGACAATTGGGAGCTATGCCAAACACTGGTAGATCTCTGATGAAACTCTCCAGTTTACAACAGAGAAAAAGTGGTCACCAAAAATGAGTATACATACATATACCGTATTTTTCGCTCCATAAGGCGCACTTTTTCCCCCCCAAAAAAGGGGGAAAATTTCAGTGCGTCTTATGGAGCGAATATAAAGCGGCCGGTCCGGTATTTCTGCCGGCACCACGTCAGAATATTGGGCCGGCCGCTCAGCTCTTCTCTCCTGCAGGACCTTACCTATTCCTCGCTCCAGCACTGCAGTCTTCCCGCGGCGGCTTCTGTGACAGCCAGGTGCCCACTGCGCATGCGAGAGAAGCGCTGCCTATTGTGTCTGGCGTCTTCTGGGACACATAACAGGTCCCAGAAGGCTTCGGGCCATTCACAAAGCGCAGCGCTTCCTGCGCATGCGCAGTGGGCACCTGGCTGTCACAGAAACCACCGCGGGAAGAAGGAAGGACAACTCCGCGGAAGTGGGAGCGGGTACCTGTCAAATTCAGGTACCCATTCCCCCTTCCTCCCCAAAGGTCCACAGTCTCTGGTAATCTCCTTTACTGTCTGCAGTCTCTGGTCATCCCCTGCACTGTCTGCACTGTCTGCAGTCTCTGGTCATCTGGTCCTCCTGCACTGTCTCTGGTCATCTCCTGTACTGTGTCCGCAGTCTTGGTCATCCCTGTACTGTACAGTCTCTGGTCATCTCCTGTACTGTGTCCGCAGTCTCTGGTCATACCCGTGTACTGTGTCCGCAGTCAGTCTCTGGTCATCCCCTGTACTGTGTCCGCAGTCTCTGGTCATCCCTGTACTGTGTCCGCAATCTCTGGTCATCTCCTGCACTGTGTCCGCAGTCTCTGGTCAACCTGTACTGTGTCCGCAGTCTCTGGTCAACCCTGTACTGTGTCCGCAGTCTCTGGTCATCCCCTGTACTGTGTCCGCAGTCTCTGGTCATCCCCTGTACTGTGTCCGCAGTCTCTGGTCATCCCCTGTACTGTGTCCGCAGTCTCTGGTCATCCCCTGTACTGTGTCCGCAGTCTCTGGTCATCCCCTGTACTGTGTCCGCAGTCTCTGGTCATTTCCTGTACTGTGTCTGCAGTCTCTGTACTGTGTCCGCAGTCTCTGGTCATCCCCTGTACTGTGTCCGCAGTCTCTGGTCATCACCTGTACTGTGTCCGCAGTCTCTGGTCATTCCCTGTACTGTGTCTGCAGTCTCTGGTCATCCCCTGTACTGTGTCCGCAGTCTCTGGTCATCCCCTGTACTGTGTCCGCAGTCTCTGGTCATCCCCTGTACTGTGTCTGCAGTCCATTGGTTCAGAATATTTTTTTTCTTGCTTTTCTCCTCAAAAACCTAGGCGTCTTATGGTCAGGTACGTCTTATGGTATGGAGCGAAAAATACGTAAATTAATTCACATGTTATGGTAACTTTATGATGAACTGAAGCCCAGGCTTAGAAAACTACTTAGAGTTAAAATACGGCACAATAGGTATGACTCCTAATAAAAGTCCATATAAACAAAGTCCATTGGAAGAGGGAGATCACCAGAATGTAATAAGCCTCTGTAGCACCTAGGGCAAGCCTCTGATTGGAGTGGGAGTAGTCTCCAGATATTGCATAGAAACAGAAAAGAGATAAAGGCTCCTCTAAGTGTAGACTTGTAGATAAAAGTTTAATTACAATAAAGGTAAAATGTCAACTCACACCCATAAAAGAACACCACATGGAACACACATGGGATGTGACGTTGGCGTGATGACATAACCGGACGTAGTTATCACACCAACGCCGCATCCCATGTGCGTTTCAGCCCTCCACCTGGCTTCTCTTCCATATAGCAGCTGGCTTCCTGGACAGGGGAGGACATGGCAAATAGCGATGAAGATTTTTTACCATCCCGACTGAGACTAACACTCAGAGCTTTTTGTTCTTTTATGAATGTTGCCATTTTACCTTTATTGTAATTGTAATTAAACTTTTATCTACACTTATCGCTCTTCTGTTTACTAGAAAACCACTTATATGTGGCCAAAACAAAAACCATTTTATTTAGAAGGTCTAAAATTTTCCAACTAAATCATTTCCTTCCAGATGAACAACAAGGATATCCAACACAGCTCACACTTGCAAATAGGGAATATGAACAGCCATCTTTTCCAAATACTTACTCCATATACACTGCAAGAGAACTGGAATTTTAACAAGAGAGAAAAAAAAATCCTCTGCGCTAGAAAACATATGAATGTCAACTGTTCATACTATTCATTTTTTTTTTTAATTAATAATTATAAAAAGTCTACACACCGCTGTTAAAATGTCAGGTTTTCTGTGATGTAAACAAATGAGACAAAGATAAATCATTTCATAACTTTTTCCACTTTTAATGTAACCTATAAACTGTACAACTTGGTTGAACAACAAACTGAAATCTTTTAGGTGGAGGGAAGCAAACATAAAAAACTAAAATAATGTGGTTGCATAAGTGTGTACACCCTCTTATAATTGGGGATGTAGCTGTGTTCAGAATGAAGCAATCACGTACAAAATCATGTTAAATAGGAGTCAGGACACACCGGCCATCATTTAAAGTGCCACTGATTAACCCCAAATAAATGTAATAAAAAAGGTGCAGCGCTAAAAGCAGATAAATCCACATGAAATAAATGCAAGATAATACATAAATGAAAAACTCAAATGATAACGGTATAAGTATAGGTGACTAATGGTGTCAGAAAAAAGTGCAAAAAGTCTATGGATTAGTGATCCTTCGTGCATCTTCTGGTGATCAAATATTTGTATTATACACTCACCAGATGCATAATTCCAATATGCATGTAGAAAATAGTAATCATCACAAGGTCTCAAAAATGGAATCCTCACATGGACTCGTCTGTCATCTCTGGGTTTCCCTCTGGGCACCTCTGTCCATCTGGGGTTCCCCTTGGATCATCCGATAGGATACAACACCTCTTAACTACCTTCCCTGGTGGCTCTGTGGGTGATGGACTCAACAGGAGTCCAAAGAAAGGAAGCCAGAATGGTGTGATATCGTTTAAAGGATAATTTATTGATCCAGATAAAAAAGGTAAGATAAACAAAAACAACTGACCATGTGAGATATAAAGATGGCCGCTAGCCCTCATGGGACCCGGCGGCGAGACGTCTGGACTCCGCAGCTCTTACCCTAGGGTCCCATGAGGGCTGGCTGCCATCTTTATATCTCACATGGTCAGTCGTTTTTGTTTATCTTACCTTTTTATCTGGATCAATAAATTATCCTTTAAACGATATCACACCATTCTGTCATCCTTTCTTAGGACTCCTGTTGAGTCCATCACCCACAGAGCCACCAGGGAAGGTAGTTAAGAGGTGTTGTATCCTATCGGATGATCCAAGGGGGCAACTCATTCACAGATTTAGAACTAACAACCCTTAACCACTTGCCCTTCAGAGGATATACCCCCCTTCCTGACCAGGCCATTTGTCGCATTACGGCGTTATTTTAACTGACAATTGCGTGGTCATGCAATGCTGCACCCAAATGTATTTTACGTCCTTTTTTTTTTCCCACAAATTTTGGTGGTATTTGATCACTTGTGCATTTTTTATTTTTTGCGCTATAAAAAAAAAAAAAAGACCGAACATTTTGAAAAATTTTGTTATTAAAAATGTCCAGTAAAAAAATTTTTAAAAATCAGATTTCGTCATAAATGTAAGTCAAAATGTATTCTGTTACATGTCTTTGCTAAAAAAAATCCCATTTTACATTTTTACTAGTAATGGCGGTGATCAGCAACAAATGATTTACTAGTAATGGTGGCGATCAGTGACTTATAGCGGGACTGTGGGACTGCTCTGCACATTCTGACACTGGGTGGAACTGACTTGGTGTCACTGACACCCCCAGTGACACCAATACAGTGATCAGTGCTAAAAAAAAGAACTGACACTGTACTAATGGCACTGGGCAGGAAGGGGTTAGCATGAGGGGCGATCAAAGGGTTAACTGTGTGCAGGGAGTGTTTTACTAGGGGGCGGTGTCTGTGTGCTTCACTGTAAGCACACTGTTCTGGATGGCTATGCTGTGCACAGCCATCCAAAGCAGTGAGCCCGAGCTGACAGGGAGGAGAACTGTTAGTAAACAAAACAGTCCTCCTCCCCTTTGTAGATCCTTGGTAATCACTGGGCGCCGATGAATAATCACTGGCCGGGACCTAGTAATTGACAGCCGCAGCCGCGAATGGCGCCCACTACCCGGAAATGCAAAATCACATACTGTATATACGTGATTTTGCGCACCCATGCCGCCCTGTAGCAGAAGCGGTTAATCAGCAGTTAATTCCTGTAAAAGAAGTAAATAATAGAAAAGCCAATAATGATAAACTGACTGATCAGCCTGTTAAGCACACATCTAACAACACAATCTCACCTAACAATCATTTCTATAATATTAATGACCCTGACATGCTGTATACTGGAAAGGAGCACTAACCATTCCACCACAGCATCTGCTATAACTGCAGCAAATGAAAACACAATAAAGACATTTCTTAGGTCAGAGGTGTGATAAGTGAAATATAAGTGAAAGCACTAGAGAGCTGAGAGTGGACAGAAAGGGGTGGCTGAAGGCTGACAGAGCAGAGCAGGGAAGACAGTGACACAGAGGAGACTGAAGCAGACAGTATAGAGTGAAGTCTGTGTACATTCACAACCCTCAGAGCCTTTACTCACCCCTACACTTGTGATGATGATGATGATGGAGGTCCTGTTGGAGAGGTGTTGCTCAGGCTGTCGGGCCATGGTAGCATCTTCAGACCCACTGCCTACCTGGCTCGCAGTGTCAGGAACAGTAGCGCAGTGGGCGTCTGAGTGGAACCTTCGTATTCTTTCACGGTAGCTTATCTCCTGTTGGCCTGCATGCTGACACTTCCAGTCAGCAGTCCTCTTCTGGTCCCTGCCAAGTCCAAATGGCCACCCAGTCTCAGTGGTGATGTGATGCTCCGGGCTCAGGCACTTCTGGTCTAGCCTCACGATCTCCTTCATCTGCCTGGTGGTCCCTTGGAAAAGGATGTGCAAATGTGTGGTAGACATCTTAAACACGCAGTGCCACAATGTCTCTATCCTCCCTGGATGCAGATGACGGAGCTGACACTGTTCCAATGGTCCTGCCGCAGGTCCTGGTCTGCCTACAGGTGGATAAAAAGTTGCCTGGCTGACCTCAGGTAAGCTATTACCATCAGTATACAGAGCAGCCCTGGCACTTTAGGAATGAGAAGCACAATATAGGCACAGGGCCCACAGATGTCAGTGATGATACTGGGGGGGGGGGGGAAAATAAAATATAAATTCATTAAATGACTAAGCCAGTCATTCCTCCAGGGGAATTAGTCTTTTCAAGTAGTTCATGAAGTAGATGATCCATTCTGGGCTGAGAGCAGGTCAAAAGATCCAGAAGGAAGGCTGAGGAGAATTCAAAGGTGAGTCCAGCTGACAGACCTGCGGTAAATGCTAACTCCTCCCAGTGACAGGGAAAGATATAAGTGAAAGGTTACACTCATTGGCAAGATGTTTCCCTCCTAAAAATTTGTCCCCAATCCAGTGCTCAGCAGCTGAGGTAAATCCTCCTGGCAACAGCAGGCAGCTTGTTACCTGAAACACAAAGCAAAAAGAACCAGCAAAGCAGCCATAGCAAGACATGGAATAACAATCATCATAACCCTCTATTAAGAGTGAAATTTTTATAAAAAACAAATGGGTGATAAGGGTGACAATCCCATGGGGCCTCTTCTGTATTTTTTTCTTTTGTGTCCCTGACATTCTGATTGCGGGAATCCTCAAGCTGTCAGAATACAGTAGCACAGCCGGAGTGATT